ATATGTAATATATAAAGTATTCCTAAAAAAGTAATCCTCTGTAAGAGAGCTTGTCCGGAATAAAATGTTATAGTCACTTTGAGAACTTATTATGAGTAACAGCTACATTAATAATGTGCTAGACACAGATATTTCCGGCAGTTACTTAATAGCATTTATCTCTTTAAATATATACAGCGAAACGTCATTTTTGAATAAAACTTATAACAGTATAATTTATAAGACGTAATTGGCGCTCTTGCCCTTTGCCTTATAGCAAATACTGCGAGCAATAGCTACAATTCCAATCCTATTTCACACAAGTTATTCCCGTGCATCTTAGGGCACGGCGGATCTTTAAAGCATCCATCCTCCGCGTTATCCTTCGGCTGAACTATTAGTACACACTGGGTTACGGAATTTTCTCACAACCGTTATCGCGCCACCTCGCCATCTTCGTTTTACCCATGATCGTGCGCCATGCGGCGCCGCCGAAATTCTTAAGCGCTCTTGAACGGTTTTCCAATAATCTATTTTCGTGTAAATGTCTGTGCGACTTTCCACTTTAGTCCCTGGTAATTGCTAGCGACTTTGCGACTCGCGTAGCCGGCACGCTACGTCGAGTAAGTAGCGCCGAAAAGAAGGAATCAATAACCAAATAATCAATTAATATCTCTATTAGATCTGTAATGAAAATTACTGCTTTTTTTTTTTAAATATCGGGGATAATCAAATTGATTATAAGTGCGCTTTTAACCATCCAATTTCCGGGTTTAAAGATAACTAAAATTCTCACTGCGCGTAGTAAAGGTCGAATAAGTTCCACCTTCGAGTCCGAGTTAACGATTAAACGTCGTAATAAAATGCACCCGCGTCGCGAATTTCGTCGGACACTCATCTCCCTCCCCCTCCCGATTCTTTTTCGTTCCGCTTCTCCGTGTCCGCATAGCGCTGACACGCACGTGCGTCTGGCGCACGTGCACATCGGCACACAGAGACGTCCGTTCACCATCCCTCCCTCCCCCCGCTCCCGCCTAGGACCCGTTTACGACGTCGTATAGTTCGTACACCACCACCGCCGCCGTCACCGTATCGTTTCGTACGCCGCCACCGCCGTCGCGTATCAGTTTAACGCGTATCCGCATTACGTATCCCACCCCCGAAGTGCGCGTAAACATTTGCCTGCGTCTGGTGGGCGAGGAACGTGACCTAGACCAAGCAAATAAAGCGTCAGCGGAACGCCTGATATGCCTTTCCGACCTTATCGGTGCGGCTGCTCGATGCGGCTCGGCAAATCGCCTCCCTCACCCTTCCCGTCCTCCTCCTCCTCCTCCCGCACGTTATGATGTAATAAACGTAAAAAATAACATCAAAAGCGAACCCTTAAATATCGCTTTACTGCGATTACAGGGCGGCTAATGCCCAGGCACGCTTTCTGCACCAACACGCGAATCGTTCCGTATTACGCGAAACGAATATCCGTCCGCGGAAACTCGCGCATTTGCAATAAGGAGACCGTGAAAATTTTTCCGTAAGTATATTCCGGTATTTCTACGATGTATATTGATAATATTACGGAGATATCTTATTACCGCGGAAAATTTCGTGCAGCGGTAAGAGAAATTCGAAATCTCGCGGAGGTCACGAGATGCGTGAGCGCGCGCGCGCTGCATAAAACTTCGACTTCGAGAATTTAGATCTCGATACACGCGAATGGATAGCGCATTAATAATCGATGATTAGGCGAAGAAATTGTGCGACAATGATTAACGCGCGTTATCGACTTAAGCCGGATTCCACGCGGTCCGTATTCCCCTGGACGGCGCTTATCTCCGCGCGATTATGCCAACTTTTCCCGCGAACCTCCCCCCTCTCCTCTCCTCTCCTCGCCGCGGCTAATCGAGCGCGACTATCGACCGGGCGTAAAACATCGCGACGTATCCGATAAATTATGCATTCCGTCTCGTGCGTGCGTGCGCGTGGTTTGCCGGCAATGGGCGGCGGGTATGTCAGTGCCCGCTTGTTCCCCCGCGTTTTATGGAGTTATACGGGCGTAGTGCAAAGTGTATATACGCGCGGCCCCGGTGTAAAAACCGACAGAAATATTTACACGCAAATTGCGCAGCTTCGCGCTTGAAAGCGACGTCGCGCGGGAGGGTTGGTCAGGGACGGGGAAGAGGGGAGGGAGGTGGGGGGTTTTCCCTTCGCTATCAGACCTCTCCGTTTCTCTCCCTGCCGCCTCTCTTCCACCGGCTTTTCTACCCCCCTTTCTACCCCCGTACACTTCTCCCCGAATCCCTCGCACTGCCGCTGGACAACTGTTGCTGGTAGTGCATCCATTATTACAGCATTACGATTTGCCGTCGCGGGCTGAGTATGTTGCAGTCTTATGCATATATGCAGGGGAGTTCGTGCATGTACGTGTTATAGTTCGCATGCTCTCCCCGCACGTGTATAACGTGTATAACGAAGTAACGGGATGCGCGCATTAACACCTTTCTTTCTTCCAACGTCGCGATGTACTTATTTTCGGCGTGTCGCGCGGCCGAACATAACGCGACATTAGATCTCGCAACGCGTATCACGATCTCATCGTATTCAAATCGTCCGCGAAAGCAGGCTAACGACATTGTCGAGTCTTGTTTGCTTGCCTGGGTTGTCGACGCGCGATCCTGCGTGAGTTTTACAGAATCACGCCTTTGGTTCGCGACTATAATGATCGGACTAACGATCGAATATCTTCCAGCGACATCTTAGTTATAATTATGACAACTTTCCGGTTATTAATCGCGAGATCTCGTATCTCGCGGAGGTGAACGTACGGCGTGCGTTTCGTAGGTATGCCATTAGAGATACGTATCTGAGCGCGCGCGCGCGTGTCTCTATTCGACCGCACGAGAAATGACAAATGCACGTGTATGCGCGCCGTACACACCATGCGCGCACCACATACGTATACCACCGTACGTCGGGTGGCCTTACGCGAGCGATCGAAACGGCCAACCAGCCCGCCAACCGACCAACCGGCTTTATTATTACGCGGTGGCACCGTGCAATTCGCGCGAGCCGGAGCTTAACGTCCGTAAAGCACGTAGGCATTATCGCGCGAACAAGGGGTTCCTTTAATATTTCGATCAGCGCGCGCTCGCGAGTTATTATCCTCGCAAATCCCGCCGCGGGCCGGCCCGTGCGCCCGACATGAAGACATTACACGAAAGCACCAACCCGCCGAAACGTTCGAACGCCGTAATTACGACTGATCCAGGGGAAAGGGGACGGCGCGCGGCGGCGAG